TGTATGTATGTATGTATGTATTTATGTATGTATTTATTTATGTATATATGTATTTATATTACAAGTAACGTGCTACAGGCTGTCACGATCCATGCGGCTATAGGACGGCTGATTTGCTTTTCGGTTATTAGTCTCTTCGAAATATATCTATATATATATATATATATATATATGAAGCTTATCTGCAGTGACTGGTAGTATCTTCCTATGCACTGGACATTAGTAGCCACCATTGACATACTTCAGACCGCTCGCAGTCGCATTCAGCAGTTCCTACTAATATGTGCCGGTTTTATTCATATCGTAGGGGTGCTGAGCGAGGTTCTGATTCCAACGATCAAGACTTCGATAGTGATTCCAGTAGTTCTGGAGAGAGTTACTCCGGAGCCTCATCTGTGGATGAAATGGTATACCTGCTGCCTGCACCCCGGATATGATATTATCGTTTAGATAATCGTGTATCTTTTTAACTCTGAAAGAAAGGGAAGCGTACGCCTATGCTCGCGCCAAAGTGTCTTATTTATCTTACTTATACGGAATATGTAGGTGTGTAGCTTTCGTTGCTCTGTCGGAAGTAACTCTTTCTGCACAGGGATGCAGTTTACTTTTGCGTAGTATACTGACGCTACATATACGCCCAACATTGATTTCAGCTTGTTACTGGTCCTTTCTTGTGTGTGGGATGTATATTGGTTGTGTGCTAGTTCGACTACATCTGTTATTATCTGCCAGTATCGTTTGGCTGAAAGAGCAATTCATTCGAGCTGCGGTGAGGTGTGATTGGCTTCGCGAAATTGCCCCTGTCCCAAAAATCATTAGACAATCAATTAACTATACTAAACCTGCTTCAATTGAATGTCCTGTAACAGAGTGAGAAAAAGATCAAGATCAGCAGAACCACTATCCGAACGGAGAAGGATGCTTTGTTGTTTGAAAAAGCGCTTCAACGCTATGGTTGGGGCAGATGGAGGGAGATCAGACGCGATTGTCGTAAGTGCGAGATTTGTGTGATGTGATCTTTCGCACTTAACTCAATCTTCTACTTTGATTGCCTTGACTGCCAAGTCCAGCTGATGTGTTGCATATCCCCCTTCACTCTGTGCTTCCCGTACAAACCTCGCACGAATCTTCAGATCAATTTCTAGTTTTAGTCGTGTGTTACCTGACATTTGAAATGTACAAACTTCTATTGGAGCCTCTCCTGAGCACAATACTGTACCCGCTTCTAGCGAGCACTGAAAAGTCACTGTTTCAAACCTATTTCTCTTGTAAGAATAGCATCGTGACGGCTGTGTTCTTCTAGCTGTGTAACAAATAGATACAAACAGTAAATAGATCTTAACAGTATTAGAAGCCGAAATTCTTAAACATATACGTGTCATGAAGGTACGTGTCACGTAAGAGCTGGGTATTCATCGTCAAATTGTTTGTTCCTCTCTTCCAGCTAAATTGTGTGGGAATTGGAGTGACTTCCAGATAGCGGCCATAGCCCAGGAGATTCTGCTGATTGCGGTGGACTCGAAGACCGCGTCTAACGACAGTTCCATGGTGTCGTTTGTCAAGCGAATTTGCAGTGAATTCACCAAACAGCACCAACCAGCGCCACCCGCACAACCTACCTCTCACATACAAAAGACATCTGTACCTATTGCCCGTATGTCAACCGATGCTATGCCACACGGTAAGAGCAGAGGACCCGTTGCCGCAGGGGTAACGGCAGGTGGTGTAGGGGTCACTATCACTTCAAGCGTGCCGCCAAATATGATCAACGGAGTAGCAGCCATAGTGAACCCGCACGCGGACAGTACGACTGCGAACCCTGCCACAAACGCTACAACTGACGCGCAAGCGCTACCACCGACACAGGCACAGACAGTCCCGTCACAACATCCACAGCCACACCCTTCAACGCACACTTCACCCATTCTCATAGAACAAGCAAACTCCAGCATCAGTCTGCAGACACCTCCGATACCACTCTCTCCATCCACGACTGAGCCTGCACTGGCAGGGGCGACTGCTATTGTGGCGCCTGTGAGCTATAGGCCTGTGCACATGCAATGGATAGACACGTACAAACCACTGACTGTGGCGGCAGGCGAATTGAGGAAAATCTGTATGTTGCGGTTTTGTAGTCTCATTCAGTTTACAGCACATGCAGAGAGATACTTGCTGGCTTTTATATAGGAGCGCATTACTTCCTAGTTGGGCTCTTCTACTCGCTGTTCTAGTGTACCTGTGTCTGCCAGCAGATATCCTAACTTCCTATGCATATGTATCGGGCATTACCGTACTTTTCCACGCGCATTTTTGTATATTTTTGCCTACTTCTCATGCACACGATTCTGAAACACTGTAACTTATCACATGTATGCCCATACTCTCTAATATCCTTACAGCTAAGTACAGGAAACGATTGCACACAGGCACTATCGCCGTGCGACTGTTTAATCAATTGATGTATGCGGACTGGATGAACAACACGCTGACCCATCGCGCGCTGTGGGGAAAAGTATGATGTTCAAATGTTTATTTTCTACATTGAACTAGTTCCATTATGTTTATATTTGATAGCGTATAGTGTGTATACTGTTGATCCTGCGTCCTGTCACTGTGCAGCAAGTGTACGTTTAGCGGGAACATGCTTCAATATCTGAGCAATATTTACTTTTCGCTCAATGGGGCCACAAAGGTGCCACTGTGTCACGGGGTTTTGTATATGTTGTTCTTCATCGCGTCATCACATAATGGCCTGTCTTCGGACTTTGAAACATTCGATTGTGAAAGGTATGGCCTGAATACACTCACCATGTGGAATAACAGCCCACCGCTTCAGTTTTCCAGCCACTAACTTTGACCATTAACTTGGTTCCCCATTTAATATCATAGCCATACACAATGGACAACCAACTACACGAGATCACCCTGGGGCCTATGCTGCACTTCAGCCCCAAAACGTACAAGATGGAGGTGTGTCCCTTTGCGGAGAAGTGGTGGAGGGACGCCACCTACGACGACAAAGTGTGTGCCGTGGCCATGGCTCGACACGGCTATGCCACGCAGAAAGTGGTAGTCAGCAATGTTCTGGAGGACCCCGGCCTGGGCAAGTTGCTGGTATGTATTAGGGCCTGGACATTTTGCTTGCGCAATTGAGTTGGCGGGTATCAAGTTGTTTAGGGTTATTGTGGTACAGCGGCAGATACGCGCAGAAAGCGGTTGTCACTAAGATTTTGGGCGCCTCCGATCTGGATGGATTGCTAGCCTGAGAAGTTGGGGTGGCGGGCGTCGTGTCGTGTAGGGCTATTGTGGTGCAGGTGAGGGTCATAGTTCAAAGTTCAGCTGGCGCTGGTGCAAAGTGGCTAGCCATGTGTAGGACGATAGAGTGAATGCACGTATGGTTATGATTGTACCGCCATTGGAACTTGTTTACATAGTATTGCACAGTATTGCGAATTGATTCGGTACAGGGAGAGCCAATCTCATTATATTTATGGTTAGAATTAAATATATTTATCAACCAGTATAATCCCATTGAAATATTTGCCCCCTCGCATACCTACACAATACGTCGAAAACATACTGGAACTCGACTTCTATATACTCACACTTATATATATATACTTATAAATATACATACAAATATATGTGTGTGTGTGTGTGCGTACAGGCATCCACCGTGATGAAGGTGCTCAACAAGTCGATGATGGCGAGCGATGCGGACGAACCCCAGCCCTCCACACTCATACACGAATTGGACTTCGACCACAAGAAGGAGCTGGAGGCTGAGTTTATGTCAATCTTGAAGCACGGCAATAGTATGTGTGTATTGCGTTCGTTTGCCACGAGTGCCTATTCGCATACACACTCTTTTGTCGAATCGAAAACGTCGCTTCAATCATTTGCATATTGTATTTAGTGGCCTGATTGCATGTGGCAGTGTTTCAGTGTACTGGGTTGTAAATTCACACTCATCTTGTTACGCCACTTTCACAGGCTCACTGCTAGCGCATCACAACAAAAGACGGGCTGCCGACAGGAAGGAAAGCCTCGCCGAGAAAGAAGCACGCGCTCAGAAGGTATAAGTGTGCATGTGTACAATTGGATGTTCGCATAGCGATGTGTGTACTTTCCAACGATTAATTATACCATGAGTCGTGCTACGACATGTATTGCGTACAACTTGTGTCTTTGCCTCCACAGGTGCAGAGCTAAACAAAATGTTCTGTTCTGATGGAGAGCTTCTATGTATGTAGGTATAGACGCCTATGAATGGTATTGTATAGTTCATCTGTGCCTATCGTTACATTCGTTACACTAGGAATGCAGGCGCGCTGCGTTTATTGCATGGGCAATTCAAAGTTCGCTTTCGTAGCACGCCCCACCCTTGGATGAGGGCATCAGCCTAAGCTTTATATACCTTGTTGACCCATTGTCCTTTCTTCGCAATAAACAGGATATGCCGCTCAGCAATAAATACCATCTAACTCAGTAGCTCGCTGCAAGCTTTCTAATCTACTCAAACACTAAAATTCCCACAAAAACTTTCGATACTCCTTCCAAAAGGAGCTTAAAGTAAAAGCGAAAAAAGAAAAACTGGTAGCTGTACCCCCTGGCAACCCGGATCACTGGAAACTCAAAGACCAGAAGGCGTTCTACAACACAGCAGCTGCATATGGGATACCGTCTACAACCACAGAAACCAAGCCATCAACAAGCACGTCTGCTACGACGGCGCTGTCATCGACAGACACCAAGGCAGAAAGCGGTGAAACACCGACAATACATGTGGAGACTACCGACAGTATAGATACGAATAAGCCCGAAGAGAAACCTGCGCCCCAGGAGAAGGAGGCTGAGAATACGGAACCACCAGCAGTCCGGGACGAGAAATTGGAACAAGATGTGGAGATGTCGCAAGCGGAAGTCGCTCAGTCCTTACCCTTGCCCACGCCGACACCGGACACCACCGGCAATGCATCGACCAACACCACCGCACCGATCAGTCTGCACGGCGATCGTGTAGGCGGGCTGAAGGGTGGCAGCAAGAGCCCCAAGACTGAGGAGGGTGCGGCACTCGCTGGTGCCGTGGTATGTGTGTGGAATTAAAATTCTGGGGTGTGTCTGGATCGATTTGTGCGTGTTGAAGTCGAATTGGTGTCTTAGATCATTACATGGAGTTTAGAGTTTAGGTTGTTGAGTTTTGACAAAATCGTGTATACACGGATCGAATAGGGTGAAACACACGCCAATTTGTGTAGCGGGGGTTTTTTTGCACGTGTGAGTGTGTTAGAGTGATTGTCTGTCTGTCTGTTCCTGTATTTGGGTTGAAGTATTTGCACTTGGAAACGAACTTTTAGTTCAAAGATGTCTCACACAACCTATCCGCACTTTCACTAGCTGGACCTGCTGACTACTTTTTAGGAACAAAATATTCAACTTTCGCTCCATTATCGCACGAATGGATGTCCGTATCCATATTTTACAGGGGTGGACATGGACATGGGCCGAATTTAGGAAAATGGCAGAGCTCAACTGCACAGATGACGCTGTTATCAGGTTCTGGAAAGAGTACAAGGCAATGTGTGAAGCGGTGGCTGCAGAAGACGACCAACCCCTCGCAGCCACCAATGCACTGAGTGGCAGTGACATGGACACCGGCAGTCCCAGTCTGAGTATGTGTGAGATTATATACAAAAGTCAAAGCTTGTTCGGATCTATTTGTCACTTCCGGTTGATTCGGGGAGCGTTATTGTCGTTGTGTATCTACTTCATATACTCACAATAATGTCACGCATGTCGGGTACACAGAAGAGCCTTCTCTGGCCAGCGCAGTCGATGAGAAATGTCCCCCGGCCCAAACAATTAACCTGACCACCCCGTCGGAACAGCCATCCGAGTACATAAAAAGCACAGCCGAGTGCATCGTAGCCAGCTCAACGGAACCTGACCCAGAATCCAAGCAGTCCCACAAAGACCCGTACACAACTATCAGCTCACTGGAAACGGTGACTACGAGGGATGTGCCATTACAGGCGGCACCAGCGACAGATCACACGGACATACAAGCGCCCGTGCCCACAAACAATAACGGTATCAACACCACAGCCAAACACTTCGCAAAGCCGAAGCAAGACAAAACCACGCTATTATGGCCGGGGCAATTCGCTGTGCACAAGGTGTCGCCCTATAAAGCAAAGGCGCTGTTGGAACGAGCGGCTCTTATGGACCAACTTCGGACGGTCGTGCTTGTAGAGCCAACGGTAAGTTTGCACACGTTAAAATTGTGACTGCAAGTGTGAGTCGGAGGTATGCCGAGTGCCGGAGTGGTATTTACAAGAGGCTTTTCGATATATCTCAGTTTGGCTTGTCTCGATTTTAGTCTTTCGATAGAAGTTAGCATGACATTGCACGCTCTCTATAATCTTTGCCTATATAGAAGAGTGTAATATTTGAATCTCGGGCATTTATGCGAGACAAAGGTTATGCTGATGACAATTTGCTCGAAATTGCTAGAAGTTCGCACACACCGCATTCATGTGCTCCGAAGCATCGCTCGCAGTTACTTTGTCATATTGACCCATTGATGTGACACTGTCTATCAATAAGTATGGATACTCTGCCTGAAGTAGTACGCAAAGAATATCTACAACTTGATACGTGTGCAGAAAAACGGTGGATATGAATACTCCCTTCTTGTGCTATCATGTCATCTTACATATTCCTATCCAATGTGCGTGCGCCATATGCGACACAGCTTAAGCACATCATCAGCCGCATACCGACCAGCGGTATCAAAAGGTTCGCTCAATGGTTTGAGAAAGGAGCCGATGATATTGCGCTATACACTGCGGTTGCTCAGCATGGGTGGGATGTGCCTCACACTACTGTGCTAGATATGCATAAGGTATGAAGCTGTCTGTAGTTCTCTTGTGCTTTGTGTGCAGAACGTTGTGCAGAATGTGCCATCTGTGTGCGTTCTACCGGTTGTGGTGAGATACAATCATTGTTGTATAGTACCTGGTATTCACGCGTGTTGAATCATGTCAAGAGTTTTTCTTTGAAATCAATCGAGGCTGTGGCGCTTGCTCGATCCGTGCCGTGTGTTCTCTACTTGACACAACAGAGTATCATTAATTGTAGTATCATTGATTGGTGTACTTTAATTCCTAGATTTTTTATTGTGAAACCTTGAATGTCACTCAACCGGATTGTTAAAATTACCTACAGATTGGTGTATTACAGCATATTGTTTAAACATAGCTTGGGTATGAGTGAATGCTTTTCACACGCAACTAGAGTCGCTGACATCAACACAACTCCTATATATGGCACGTACAGGATGCTTTCAAGGCGGGCAGGAAACAAGTGAAGAGTCTTCAGCAAGTGGATGCTGTGGTATGTGCTGCAGGCTTATGTGAAACATTCTTGCCTTAAACTACAGTTTTTTATTCTCTGCCTAACTTTTCAATTCGCAGCATGATCTGGTTCTGACACTAAACAACAGAAAAAAATCATTCAGCTTCCAATCATGATACTCTCTGTGGTTCGCTGTAGAAAATAACTATGAACTACAAGTGACATTCGTTTCCACTACTGGCCTCCTTCAAATTCAGACCAAGAACGGTTTGAACGGTGACTGCTGGCAGAAATTGGCTCATTGGCCTTCAAGGACAGACATCATGAAACGGTTAAGAAATATAATTGACGCCATCAGGTTACATAGGGTATGTGGATAAAAAAATGATTATTGAATTTTTTTGGAAGGGGACACTTAGCCCTACGCCAATCTAATATATGTACTATGCAATGGTTTCTTCCACCGATACTGGTATAAAACACACGTATTGTCTTTAAACAGGCGCACCACAGGCCTGTATAAGAGGCCTTTTATATCTCTGATGCTACATCACAGTCGAAAGGGTTTAGTCATGTACATACTTTAAACACGCGCATTACAGACCTGCAAAAGAGGCCTGTATATCTGATGCTACATCACAATCGAAAGGGCTAAGTGCTGTGCATACACGATCGTTCTACCATTCGTTGATAACTAATGAAAGTATGCCATCTTCTTCTGAACAGAAGTTGTCTTCTGAGGGTGGGATAAAACGGAAGACAACCTTAGAATTTCTACCTATACGTACCAAGAAACCGGCCTCAGTCCACTTGAAAAAGCAGTCTTGTTTGGACTTCACGAAAGCTAACTCAATGTCCGATCATAGCGATGAGGAATTCCAAGAGGTATTGTTTAATCGTTCGTCTGAATACACGGATTTGGACGTCATTGAAAGAGGTTCTGGTCGATTCACATTCAAATACTTGTCCATCTCCAGAATCTTGTACTATTTTACATCTGTATATTTCACCAGCCCATTTGTATTCTTCATTTGTCTTGTAGTTCACACTTTCATGAGATGCGCCTCACAACTCACCTGGTATCATGAAGAGTATCTAATCTCCATGCCCCTTCTCTTCATTCAATCTTCAGCCCTCTAAACCACTATCGAGCATAGAATCCAAAAGCACGATATCCGCGAAACCGGCCAAACGACGAAAAAGTTCGAGTAGCGCTGTGGATTGTGAGCTGATTGATATGACCAGTGAGTCGCCAAGTAGCAGCGCAGATAATATGAGCAAGAATAGACTATCCTCTACCACTTCCAATTCATTTCCTGTCAAATCGACTGATGGTAAAACAGCCCTCAAGTATAAAATAGCTACAGCTACACAGAGATCTGGTGATAGCAAATTGTCGACAAAATCGTCGAAGGGTTTGAAGCCTGACTACAAAACTGCCTCAAGTGAAGGATCCGGTGCCGATAGTGTTGGAATACATTCCAGTAAGATACTTAGTATCAATAGCGCTGTGTTGAACAAATCGAGTACGAGCATGGGTGCAAAAGACATAAAGGCGACGAAACGCACGCTTACGTCACGGAAGCGACCGGAAGCGTCTATAAACAGTTCGATGCCCAATGGATCCAAGAAGGCCAAACGCTCGGAAAAGAATATCACACTCATGTCCATGTTCAAAAAGAAACCTCATGTCGGTATGTTAGGCTTGCAGCGGCCTTTTTTTTTTTATGTTATACCATTGGTGTACTGTTTAAAACTGCAAATTAGTCTATGTGCTTTCTGCTTGAAAGTCGGCTATTGTGAAATCCATGGCACGTATTGAGATCATTGAAAAAATTTCGCAGATGCATATATTCTCGTATATATGTTGGTGTGTGTATTTATGTATATTGTTCAATCGATTCTATGGCATGGTCGATTGATCCTCATTTGTTTTTCTTTTGATTCTCTTACAGAAGTAGTGGATTCCAGCGATGAAGACGGTCCCCTCTGCGTACCGACCTGTTATTCCCCGTCACCACCTAACTTGTATTAGAAGACTCTGATTCTGCATCGCACTGACATGAGAGGAGGTATCCTGTAGAGTGACAGCTCCCGGCAGCCTACATAGTAGAGTGGTAGCTCAAGTAAAAATAAAAGTTTCGGCCATAGTACTGTTACCTCTACCACTACTTTATTTGCCTGTAAGAGATAGCTTCTTCAGTTATACTGGGTGTGCGCATAATTGAAATCTGCAACTTTCGTCTAAAAGCTAGCATTTGGGACTAGTCTAAAAAGCGTACGGTACTGCATACTTTGGAAAAATAATAAAAATCAGAATTGATCTATATATAAAAATTTGCCGCACGCGGAATCGAACCGCAATCTCCCGCTGTCACACTCTGAGGTCAGAGGCGAACGTGCTAACCATTACACCATGCAGCTGATAATATAGTAACACATTTTTGGTATATATTCATCTTTGTTGAATGCTAATTTGCTTTTGTCCTACTTTTAATATTCATAGTGTCTTTTAATTGTCGCACCACTCGCTTAAGTCTCTCTCTTGGCTTTATTTACGGGAATTCTTGCGGTTTATTTGTACCAAGAAAAGCTAATCCAGAGGACCGTGAGAAAAGGCGGGCTTTAAATTATCCCAAGGACGTGGTCGTGGTCACTGGCGAGTGGCGACGGTGGTGTTGGAAAGAAAGCCGAACGGGTAAATACGAGTGTATACTTTATATGTGTAGATATTTACTTAATATGTAAATACATACATTAAGCATATATGTAGTACATATTTGTTGTTATGTATTTATCTGTAGTATTTACACATACGATCTTTAGTAGTAGTACATCTATGTATCTATAGTACATATAGGTATGTATCTACATATTTATAAATATAAAGCATAGAAGAGCACAAGATCAGTTTCGAATAGCATATTGTCATCATTCGGTCATGAACAACACGAATGCCCCCAGTTTCTGGCGGCCGGGAACCACAGCGCCTGGGAGTACATTGGATAGAGTCTCGGCAAATGAAGAATCCCCGATCGATCCATCTATCTACAGTGTACACTCTCAAACACGCTCAACTCAGTCACGGGATGAGCTGTCTCGACAGCGAAAACAACTGCCGGTGTATAAGTACCGACAGCATCTCCTCTATGCCATGGAGAAGTTTCGTACTATTATCGTAGTCGGTGAGACTGGCTGCGGTAAGACAACGCAGTTGCCTCAGTATCTGGCTGAGGTAGGCTGGTCTGGCCAGGGAAAAATGATTGCCTGTACGCAACCGAGACGGGTACGTAGAATATGCTTTTACTTCTTGTTGTTGACCTACTCGTGTATAGTATGCTTCCTCTGCAGTAAACAATATCTCAACTGACGGCGATAAGAATCGAGACTATAGTGTAGACAAAGCTAGTGTTATATATGTACACACAAGCACAAACACTTTGCAGCACCGATGTTCGCTGCACAGAATTGATCTTAATTTGCCTACGATAAAATGCATATTTATCGCGATGCTCCTACAAATTCAACATAACTCCAGACCTTTTCAGACAAATATGTGAGTGTTAATGAGTGATCATGCTCGTTTCAGTAAATGCAATCAAACAAAACAATGTATACTTGCATATTGTCGTGTTAACAAAAGTCTACGCAAAGTCTATACCACTTGAATATTCTATATGAACAATTTGGTCTAGTCTGTTAAATAGTAAACCTAGCTCGGGAAGTTCGGCGGGTTACAACCTTCGTGGGCGGTTCTGAAAAAGTATTCGACATTTCAAGGACTCAGAACTTTTTGTATTAGATACACTGGTTACACAAATATAGAAGTTGAATACTGGAAATTGGCATAGGTGATAGCTTATGTTGGCCATATAATCAAATTTTGCCTTCTCGTTTTGCCCTGTTTTTATTTTAGGTCGTGCGCATGTGGTGTACCTAGAGTGTTATACATGATCCTTCAGTTGTCAAGCATTGTGTGTTGTGTGTATCCGCCGTAAATATTCTGGTTTTACTTGTTCGCACTTTGTTTTGTACTGGCAGTGCGTATGTGATACAGGAGGTAAACTCGCCATACAAGAAACTTTCTTCCGTCACAGGCAGAGATTCACTTATATTCATATACATTTTTATCGCAAGGTGGCTGCCACGAGTGTGGCATTGCGCGTAGCTGAAGAAGTAGGATGTAGGATAGGGGGGAAAGTGGGATACTCAGTTAGATTTGACAATGCGGAGGGTGCAACTACACAGATTAAGTATGTACGCTGCGCTCTTTACCGTTTGATTGATACCAGTAGTTTACGTGCGTGAACAGTGCTTGGTCCGTGTGGACATACGCAAATTCAAAATCCATCACGAGAGCAATGCATGTAGCATACCTTCGCCGCTTCTGAATGAGCATCCAGGACATTTGCTGATACCTTGGGTAACCTCCTCTGCGTGCACAGATACATGACCGATGGTATGCTAGTGCGGGAAACCCTGATGGACCCGCTGCTACAGAGATACAGCACAATCATGGTTGATGAAGCACACGAGAGAGGGCTGTACACAGATGTACTGTTAGGGCTTTTGAGGTAGGCTTCTTGTCTATTAGAGCTGTGTTTCCGCTTGCACGGGCATGTGGTGGCAAATGAATCAGTTGTAGTTTGGCACTTTCCTTTTCCGCACGGAATACAAACATTCACGAGATGGTGCTCTGAAATTGTTCTGCAGTTGTCTCTGCCGTGTGAAAACTTCAAGCGTCACACCTTTATTCGATATTCCATCCATCAAACCTCGCAACCCGCAACGTAGTACGTGCGATAGCTGACGTCTGCATATTGTTCCTCAATAGGAAGATAATGAAAAAGCGAAGTGATCTGCGGGTGATTGTCAGTTCGGCAACATTGGACGCGGAAGCTTTCGCCGAATTCTTCGAGACAAACGACGACCTCACTGCACCCGAAAACAACACGGCCACGATATTAAGCGGTAGGTTGCTAGCAGGGACTATTAAGTTCTTCCGCTGGCTGTGTAATCGCTTTGTTTTTGTTTACCAGGGCGTTCAGTACAGACTATATTGCACCGAGTGCACACACGCGCCTTCTCATGCGTTTTTGGTGGACGTCGTGAAGGTGGGGGGGGGTCGAAAGATGACGTGCCAAAGGTTCTGTTTTCGTATTTAACCAATATATAATTTCTGACATATACCTATTGGGTTAATAGAGCATAAAGACGCAAATTGCTGTATTGAAGATCCGTTGACTAATATCTTATTCCGGTGCAAGGTTCTTATCAGTTGATAATTCGATATTCTTAGATCTGCTATTTGTGTACTTTGTTTTGCAGTGGAGGGCCGTATGCATCACGTAGATATACACTATCGCCGGTTTCCTGTGCCAAATTATATGCAAGCGTGCGCAGATAGTGTGATGCAGATTCACAGCAAGGAAGGGGCCGGAGATGTTTTAGTATTTTTGACTGGCCAAGATGAGGTATGTTTGATATAGCATATCGAGAAGTTGTCAGTATTTTATCCCAAGAGAGCTTGTGTAACTATCCTGTTGGGTGGAATTCCCGCGGGCATGCTGAAGGTTCTCATTCACTGAAGATTGGTTTGCGTCGGAGGAGCAGAAGCTGGGACTGTTGTGCTGGCTTCGTTATATGTAAGCACTTCTGAATTTACGAAGATACAAGCAACTACTTTTATCTGACGCATAATCATATTCCGCTACATCGCTGACAGAGCTTTACATGGCATTTACAGTTCTGCATTTACAGTTCTCCTGGCAATCTAATTTTTAAACTCTACGTCTTTTCTCAGGTTGATCAAGTAGTAGACATGCTGTCGGATAGAGCATCGAGTGTGTCGGACGCACGACTTCGTTTGCTACCAATGCCCCTGTACGCATCTCTGCCATCCGAAATGCAGATGCGTGTATTCCAACCAGTAGCTAGAGGATGTCGAAAGGTATCGCATTCGATAATGACCTCCTCTATGTAGGCGACAATATATGTGTCGTTAATTACCTGTGAATCTGATTAAGGCACGAATAAACTACTCTGTAATTTATTGAGCTCTTCAACTGCTTAAATGCATTTGAAATGACGCTAAATTAATATTTTGAGAAGTTCACGAATGTTATTGTAAATGCTGAGCTTCGTAGTGCTTCTCTGTGCACTCGTAGTATACAACATATTGACGCAGATCTCATTTTAAATTTCTAAGGTATAGCTACATTGGGTAATTTTTTTTCCAACCTGTGTACCTTAAAGATCAAGCCGGCGTATGGATCTTTTTCATTATTTTCTTCTAACCGCATTCTACAGGTGGTCATTGCCACGAATATAGCTGAAACCTCGGTGACGATACCGAACATTGTGTTTGTGGTTGACAGCGGATTCGCGAAGATTCGTGCGTATAATCCTGTATCAGGTACGTGTGTCCTTTCATCATTCACCTGTACTTTGTATGTAATTATATTCCTTGAGGATATAGTATCCCTGGCTTGTACCTCCCCGCCGTTCCAATTTCGATAGTATTGTCTCAAATCGTAGACTGTGAAGCATTGCTGAAAACGCTACCTGCAAGCTCTTAACCATACTCTGCTTATTCATGTACAATTGTCTATCAATTCACAGGTCTTGAGGCGCTTGTAGTGACTCCCGTGAGCAAGGCTTCGGCAAAACAAAGGGCTGGGCGAGCAGGCCGCGTCAAACCCGGTAAAGCTTACCGACTGTACACTCTAGAGGACTACAAATCACTCGAGGACCAGAATGTCCCCGAAATACAGAGGTCCAACTTGGGACAGGTGGTGCTTCAGCTGAAAGCACTCGGGTAGGTGGCTCCGAGAATGTGTAGTTATAAACCTAATCTTGATATGTTGGGGTTAATGCAGATGAGTGTTGTTCTACGCGTGTATATGTTAGCTTAATACTTCATTCGTAGAATTGAAGACAACGTCACTCCCGCGCTTGTTTGATGGTATAAAATAAGATATAGCCGTTGAATCAATTCCGATGCACGGAATCGTCCAAGTGAGTGTTTCTTCTATATACGTGCTTTGATACATGCGCGAACCGGTCAATTTTACCGCCTTAGTTATTTTGTCGCCTGAGTCGCTAGACAGCTGTGATCAGACTCTAACGGATGGGCACGGTCGTACACTGAAGTATTTTGTCCAACGACATCATTCCATCGCACATCTGTAGTTTCTGGTGTCATAATTACAAGCAAACCTCTCAGCACTTTTCATAAGACTGAATTAGTCGTACACCGCGACAACCTGTCATTGTCTTTTTCACGGTCCCTATGGTATGAGTAGGCTGTGAGAATCATTGTGAACTGGTAGGTAGTCAATGTCGTATGTCCGCTTCAATGTGTAATTGTACCATACAGTTTTTAAGTAGATTTAAGGTTCTCCTGATGAGTCTTTCTCTCAATATCCCTTACATCGGATGCTAATGCCTAATGTATTTGCAATTTATAGAATACAGAATATTGTTCGCTTCGACTATCTATCGCCGCCCCCGCCAGACTCACTTATCCGTTCAATGGATTTGCTGCACTCGCTTGGGGCCATAACAGACGAAGGAGAACTGTCTGAACCTCTAGGTATGATTGTATGCAGTATTTTGATTGAGCATATTGTTTGGGATAGCTGGATGTATACGATATAGTAATGAGCGTATGCTATTGTACCTACGTTGACTTTCTCGAACTATAGTTGAGGTTGAATCTTATGTGTATCTGGTAGAGAATGGTCCGTGAAATCGCCTTGAATAAGAACATGCGAATTGATGAATCTTTCTGACAAATACATGACACCGATTCTGCATCTCGTTAAGCATACCCACAGAGACTCAGCTCACCCCTACAATTTCTTCACTAGGTGAGCGTATGGTAGAATGTCCCTTGGAGCCGAAGTTGGCTAAAATACTTCTAATGAGCGGTGAAATGGGCTGCAGTGAAGAAATATTAACCATTGTTGCAATGCTACAGGTTTGGTTTATCATACATTCACAGTTCTGTCCGTCTTCAATATTTCAAGAAAGCCGCCATGCTGACATGTGTATTGGCATGTGTATGCAACCAGTGTGCTCTACAAGCATTGCTATGCATTGTTGCGCAAGCGCGGCACCCCTATTTTGCCTCAATTTTTGTTTCGTGCTGTGTGCGTCATCACTGAATCACTCCACTCCTTTCGTCCACTCGATCAATGGCTAAACAACCACAAAAGGTCCAAAATATATTCGTGAGTCCAACCAACAAACGACGCGAGGCAGATAACCATCGGAGGCTGTTCACCGCATTAGAAGGAGACCATCTCTCTCTCTTAAATGCATACACGGTGAGTTAATCCGTTATTCCAGCGACCTATTTTAGAATGGCTAACCTGCGCCTGTCTATACGAGTCAGGGCAAATATATATTTGCTTTGTGAGCGAATTTTGAGTGCACTTGACAAATTATTTGCCCTGAGTTGCGTGCCCACTTCCTTTTCATCGTCGGCGCATACTCACCCTCAAGTTATATGCAGCGTTGTATTTCAGCCAATTCGCGAATGTCTCCTCATTGACTGTATTATCATACCATTGAACACCCCAGACCTTTCATAAGAACAAGCAGAGTAGCGGCTTTTGCCAAACATACTTTCTGAATCGTCGCTCGCTGCTCCGTGCCACAGAAATCAGAAAGCAACTGCTAAAGTTTCTAAGGAGGTAAGCATCAATTTTATTATGCAAGAACGGCAGCCCGTCGCGTTCCTGAACCCTATCTATATTTGCGCTTGATGTTCTGTATGCATGCGCAAAGCGCTGCAGCCGATTCGTGTGAGTATACTGCTTGCGCACTACGTTTGGCGAATATCAGCGAGTATTTTTTTCTGCTATCTGTCGCTCGTATCAGGACGAGTATTGGTCGCCGGTGTGCTACTATATGTACTAGCATTATCCTGAATTCTCTGCGCAATAACCTCTCTCGCTGCCAGGTTCAATATTCCCATATGCTCCACCAGCGACACCGAGATCATACGTCGTTGTATAACTGGAGGGTTTTTTGCAAACTGTGCGAGACTGAGTGGAGATGGGGTATGTCCGCGTGTTATGTGCCACTTACTTCATGAGCTTCCGTTAAGAAATTACATACTTTTGCTACCCTAGTGTTGCAGGATCCAAACACTCAACTGTACTTGTTGATTTGAAGCGTCAGCTGCGCATACATTGGCACACTTCCAAATAGACTACTTTGGTTGTGCTCTCCGAGTTTCTTTTTGTATTGTAGTGAGAGTGTGTGTAATCAATCCAAAATATTATCTGCTCTGCAGACGTACAAATCCTTGAGGAATGGTCAGACTATGGCGATACATCCTTCATCAGTACTGTACGACGAAAGTCCGCCGCCATGGGTGGTTTATCATGAGGTAAGGAGCTCTTCGAATTGCACGGTACGCTTCGAATTGTAAAAAGGTTTTTCCCCGGATTTCATGACAGTTTAGCTCGTGTTTGAAACTAAATGAATTGCATCACTGTCGTATTTTTTATATTTGTACTATCTGCAGGTTATATTGACAAAACAGGAATATATGAAGGAGGTCACTGTGATTGATCCGGAATGGTTACTCGAAGCCGCACCCCACTTTTATGAGTACTCTAGACTTGTAAGGAATCCCAAAGGTTGATCATTAAAATCCGTTATTATTAATATACACGTGAAAATATTTACGGCAGGTTTTCAACTATTTTTGGGATATTGAGTAGAGGTCACAAAATCTGCCTATATGATTATCTATCAGCACATAATTTTCTGATGCCGATTTCCCCATTAGATAGAATCATGTAGGGATTGTGACCCCAAATAGTCATTTTAATCGGAAATTTAGTGCGCTATTCCTGATTTTATGTATTGATAGCAAGCGCTTTGATTCGCTGAACATTGTAAAATGACAAAAGTATTACGGTAATGGCAGTCCTCCAAAATACTAAAAACAATTATGTTCACTTCATCTTCAAATATGTATTTAGCCGCATTAATGACAGTCAGTATCGGGTTGGGTTTTAGTGCACAAAATACACTGCTGCCAGCTTCAAGCAAGTTCACATCTTGGTACTGTACGCCCCCCTTTGTGTCAGCTAATAATGATGGAATATATACCTAGCCCGTATTGAGATTGCTGTAGATGGAGCTGGTAACCAGTGACTACTGTCCACTATTCTTCCTTCTTGGACGGACTTGTTGTCTGCATTATATAAGAATACTCTATATGAAGTGAAGCCTAAATTCAAATAAATGTCTGACGACTAAATTTTAAATAAACGTCTAAACCGAATCCACCAACGATTCATCACATCCACAATCCATGGCGTGTACCCACACAATCGCATGTGTGATACGTGGAGTCATGGGCAGAGGCAGAAAATGAAGGGCAACACCACTCTGCCCGAATATGCGGCACGCGATGCCTAGTTTTTCTTTTCTATGTCGCCATAGAGATCATAACATTTCTGAAACTTTCTTATTAAAAACAAACAAACAAAACAGGCTCAAAAAGCCACAGATTGAAAAGATTAGCAGCATGGCGACGAATGAAAAAGAGTGGTCCGACGTAATTTTATGGTGAAATATGCTCAAATTTTGACAATTGCTCACAGACCACAGTTTTGTCAAATTCTGAAATCCTGTTTTAGTAGTGGGCACTGGGCTATGGAAATCCACAGGAAATCTGTTGTACTTGTTTACCACTTCACAACAAACAAATATACGGGCTCCCGGCCTGGTACTGTTAATACTTTGTAGTTTATCTAAGTGGATAGCAGGTAGCATTGTCACAAAATGGTATTTATTCAAGCCGCGCTTGTAGTACTGTGTGCCTGTGGAGATATCTGGGCCTCGCCGGTATCTCTAGAGGCACCTAATCAGTCTGCCGCCAAGGCCGCGCAACCTAAATATACACCTGGAGTAGATTATGACACCTGGGGACCTAATATTGGGATTTTGACCACTCCGTGGGGACCTGATAAAGAAGCCGATAAAGTACGTGTCCACCTAGTGGTTATTTAGTTGTTCTCGTTCTTTCTCGATCATCTTTCGAAATCGGTACACAGTCAATTAGTTTTCATCGAATTGTAGAGAATAGTTGCACTCGAATCCTTTCGTACGATTCTATAGATGAGAACAATGGTCTTCAACCTTGTGATTATCAAGAATTTGAAGAAAAATTGCTCTGCGAACGATGACTAGACATTATATTATATAT